ACACACACACACACACACACACACACACACACACACACACACACACACACACACACACACACACGAATTCTTTGTCTGCTTGTTGGAGAATTGGTCAAGTTCAAAGTGTTCAGAACAAAGACGGCAGTTGTTTGACAAGTACACCACGGGTCGGTTTAGCAGATCTTGTCGACGAGTATTCTGGACCCACTGTTGACATCTGAAATTACAAAAGAGAGCACATAGGATTAACCTGTTAAAACACATTTGATTATAACTACATTCCTGCAGAATGTAGGAGCTCAACCAAGTTCAAATCCTGCCAAAAATGTAGGTACGCTATACACAGTGCAGTGCCAGTGGTGTAGTGTCAGACAGTGGTACAGTGCACAGGCACTTCATTGGACCGTCTCAAACAAATAATGGTAAATAAACACTAAATGTATCTACTATCAAAGTATTAATGTTTCTCTACTCTATTTCGCCTATTATTGTCGATAACTTGCTGTAAATGCCGTTTAAATGCTCATCTGCAACACACAAGTAGTCAAGTACACCGCACGTACGCCCTGTGCACAAACAACAATAATAAGAGAGCCACTGCACTGCCACTGGTAGTGGTACTACATGTATCAACGAAGATTGCACAACTCTTTCACGATGGATTTCGACAAAAAAGAATATTTTTTCACCTTTCCGTATTCTTGGGGAACCTGAAGAAAGACAAGTCGGGCTTACACTGACGATTCGAGCAATTTACAGCAGAACAGTAAGCTGAGCTGACAGCACACAGCAGACAGTTGCACAGTAGCAGATACAGCAACATCCGGAAACTTCGTGTGAACTTGCTTCCTAAAATGGTGGTTGTGGCGACCCATGACCTACTACGCTATGATTGGAGAGTGGTTTATCTTGTGCCTCCGGCATTATACGATCTTTGGTGTGGACTAAGCTATTGACCACCGCACCATCTGTTGGTCAAAACTGATAATCATAAGTCAGCTTTGAGAAAGCCTCCTGATAGGAGGCGAAACGTCAACTGTACGTTTCCAATCTTTACGGTTGAGTAACAATTAACCCAGTTAGATCTATTTAATAACCTTTTACAAGCAATATTTTCTCTTTTGGTTTTAAATCAAAAATATCAAATAACTAATTTATATATTTTTTATTTTCGGAGTAGTTGGTTGTTGCAAACAATCTCTGACCGAAACTTAGAAGGAAAACCAAAAACAATTTCCCTAAAAAATACATGCAATCCATATTCCGGGCCACGACTGCTTCGGGCAGGGTTTAATCTGACACCTCTTCCTCTCCTTGTAGTCCAGTGTGTAGGGCCACGGCGAAGGGTTCATTTGAAGGGTAGGCATCGACGAGTCGTATTTTAGGTTGTTGTCCTTCATCATCCTAGACAAAGACGTGAACGGCCAAAATTAATGTGACATGCCGAATTGTTACAGGGTTGTTGTGATTGTTTGGTGCTGCCCTCGAGTGGCGAAAGAAGAAGAAAGATAGACGGCAGCACTACAGAGAACAGATGGCAGCACTAGGCTACCATGCTGAATCAGATAAGAAGCAGAAGAAAGCGTTCTGCTGATTAGTAATTTCTATCGGTCAACATCTACGAGGTTATCGTGTGACCCAATGCAGTTTGTTGCCCGCGAAGTTGGCGTGGTCATTTCTACGGTGGCATGAACTAGCCCGATCATGTACTTGGCTCCCTAGGGGTTTTTTGTTTGTTCACAAATAAATCGTCTACCCCGCACGTGATTGTTGGAGTCTTTTTCCGGACCTCACAAATGGCGCAGTCGACAGGATTTTCAAGTACGGCATCCATTGAACCAAGGAGATGAACAAACCCCTGATGACGAGAGAAACGAGGAGACATCTATAAGGCAAACATCTGCACGATCTGTGGCGCGGCATACGTGACGCTGAAGGGTCTGCAGGGACACATGGACTCGCATGCCGACCAGGCCGTTGTCAGCATTCTGCAGGATGGCATGGCGACCAGCTAATCAGATAGCCGCGTAGCATTTAGGCGAAAACAATAATGCACTTTGTACACATTTGTATTGTATGAATAAATTGCGCGATTTATGGTGTAGACTGTAGACTGAGGAAGCTTCTCGAGTACAAGCCTCCCATTGCCCTTGGGTTCCTAAATGACGTGGTCCATTCTCACACGGAGTTCCGCGGGTGGTGGAATGGAGGATCGGGTGGGGATGTTGGAGGAGGAGTTAGCGAAGACCAAATTGGTGGAGGCCACACTTAAGGCTGTGTGCCAGCGTGGGCCGGGGTATGCTGCTCCCTCCCGACGTGTGGAACGGTACCGGGACCGTCCGGAGAAGTCTGGCGATCCGGATGTTAAAGAATGGGTTGGGGACATGCGGGCTCAATTAGCCACCAATAAAGGCACCCAGGAGGGCAAGGCGGCATTGGTGTTCCAGCACCTGGGGGGCAGGACCCGCATGGAGGTGAGTGGTCGGCGAGGGGTAAGCGAAGATGCTGAGAACTGAGAAGTCCTGTTGGCGACTTTTGGAGATGGGAACCACCAATCTCTGCCGAGGCTCCAGCAGAAATTTTTTTCGTTTTGCAGAAAGGGAGCCAAGACCTGGTTAGCTGCTCACTGGAGCTGGTTCAATTGTACAATCTGATCACCGCTGTGGGTGGATCATGGGAGGCCTCCATAGACATCACTCTGAAGGGGAGGCTGGCAGAGGCAGTCCATGAGGAGAGCTTGCAACGGGAATTAAGGCGCCTCAACCTCGAGTCCACAGCCCTGACCTACTTCGAGTTGCGGGACCGGGCGATACAGTGGCTGGGCACCAGCCGTGACAAAGGCCGTCACCGTGTCGCTATGGACCAGGAGGTCACCTCTGAGGCTGTCGACCCAGTGGTGGCTGCTATCAAGCAACAAGGCGACCAGTTGAAGTATTAAAGCAGCAGCAGCAGCAAATGTCTGTCATAATGGATATGCTGCGACAACAGGCGAGTGGGGGTCGACCTGTCAACAAGGGCCAACGGCGCCAGTATGGGCTGACAAAAGCCCCATGCTTTGTTGGAGTTGCCAGTCCCCGGGCCATATTCAAAGGAACTGCCCGGATAAGGGGAATGGGCCGGTGGGCCACCCCAGGTTTCCAGGCAAAATTTGTCGGAAAACTAAAGTCGCCTGTTGCAGTGAGCTGTGCGGCAGGCTGTGAGTCCGTGGAAACGGACAGGGTAGGCTCACTTTTAAAAAAGGCAGTAGGAGAGTGCCCCGAAGCCCTAGTTAAGATAGCTGGGGCGGAGATGAAATGTTTGCTGGACACGGGAGCTCAGGTTTCCACGGTAACGGAATCATTCTTCCGTGAGCAACTGAGCAACGGCTAGCATCCCAAGGATGTGTCCGATTTCATCTTCATTTCTGGTGCCCAGGGCTTGAAAGTCTCCTACCGAGGCTATATAGAACGCGACCTTGAGATCTGCGGGCATACATTCCACAGGATGGGATTCCTGGTAGTGTGCGACCCAAAAGGAACCCCCATGGAGAATCGGAAGCGGTTAGTTCCGGGGGTAATTGGGAGTAACATCCTGCGAAGAATGCGGACAGCTCTCAAGGAGAAGCTGTGAACGAGACCTATCTTAAGGGTTTGAGAGACTCCAGCCGAGTAGATGGGAGCCACTGGGCTCATGTCCTTGCCTTATATGGAGCAATCGAAACTAAGGCAGAAGCGGACCACGCTGATCCAAGTACCTCCAGGGTAAGGGTAGCTGGTAGAGGGCCACAGCTGATACCAGCCCGGTCAGTGAAGATACTGGAGGGCACGTGCATAAGGGCTATAGAAGAGCACCTCGTAATGGTAGAGCACCAGGAGGAAATCCTACCAGCCCTTCCTACGGGCCTCGCTGTGGGCAGGACTTGCTCCCAGCTAGGCCGTTCAGGACGCGTTCCGATACAGGTGACCAACTGGAGTGGCAGCGACCTCTATCTGAATCCACGGACGCCTGTGGGCATCGTGAAACCGGTGACGCTGAACCCCCAGCTAAGGATCCATTCCGTGAGTCTCCATGAGGTGCGGATAGAAGAGGTTGGTGTAAGGCAGGCCAATAACGTAGCCAATGACCTGATCAACCGGATGAACATAGGCGAGTGACTCACAAAAGATCAGCATGAGATATTGAACGCCCTAATCAGGAAGCACCAGCATGTGTTCAGCTGAGACGAAGATGACATAGGCTACTGGGACCTGGTCACTCACAGAATCCACACCTCAGATGATAAGCTAGTGAGGGTGGCTCACAGGAGTGTTCCGCCAAACCAATGGAAGGAAGTGCAAGACTTTATCAAGTGGGCATTGGAGAGGGACATTATCCGTGAATCCAACAGTCCTTACGCATCTCCAGTGGCGTTGGTAAGAAAACCATCAGGGAAAGTCCGGGTCTGCCAGGATTACAGGGCGCTGAACCTCAAGACAACCCGGGATGCTTACCCCTGACCCCGCATCGATGATGCCCTCAGGGCTTTGAGAGGTGGGAAGTACTTCTGCAGCCTAGACCTGGCCCACGGCTTCTACCAGCTACCAGTGGCTGAGGAGGACCGGCACAAGACCGCCTTCAGACCTGGCACAGGTGGGCCTTATGAATTCTGTCGCATGCCGATGGGTTTGTGCAATGCTCCAGGGACTTTTATGCGGCTGATGGACCGCATATTTGGAGATCAGAATTTTCAAAGACTGATCAACTATCTGGACGATCTTTTGGTATTCGGTTCATTGCTCAACCAGATGATCGAACGTCTGGATATGGTGTTAGAACGTCTCGGCAAGCATAATGTCAAGGTGAAGCCAGAGAAATGTAGTTTGGCCAAGAAACACATCAGGTACTTAGGCCACATGGTGTCTGCCGAGGGTATTTCCCCTGACCCAGAAAAAGTTAGAGTGATGCAGAAGTGGGAGGTCCCGCGGAGAGAACGTCAACTTCGGGCGTTCCTTTGCCTTTCGGGCTACTACCGCCAGTTCATGAAAGGCTTCTCACAGTTGGCTGCACCAATGCATGCGCTGATAGGAGGACCCAGCAAATCCCACCAGAAAAAGAAAAATCCCTCAAGGGACATCACGGTGGACTGGACTGCAAACTGCCAGGTGGCATTTAAAGAACTGAAGTGGTTGCTTATCTCTGCTCCCATTCTGGGGCACCCTGACTTCTCGCAGCCATTTATTGTGGAGACAGATGCAAGCCTCCAGGGTTTAGATGCAGTGCTATGCCAGGAAGTTAACAAAAAACGTACTGTCATATGCTATGCGAGCCGGGGCTGCGGAAGGCAAGGCGAAACATGGACAATTACAGCAGCAAGAAGCTTGAACTGCTAGCCTTAAAGTGGGCTATTACAGAAAAGTTCAGGGACATGCTCCTGGGATCCCGGTTTACAGTATACACTGATAACAACCCTTTGTTTTACCTGCAAACAACGGCCAAGTTGAACGCCACTGAAATGCGATGGGCAGCAGAGTTGGCTACCTTTTACTTCACCGTGAGGTACAAGCCAGGACGCGCTAATGTGGTACCAGACATCCTGAGCCGCAAGGGAAATCATGGCAAGGAGTTAGCTAGCTCACGCTTTAAAGAAATTGCAGCGGAACCAGTCGCTGCGAGTCTGGATCGGCATTTCCCAGCTACCAACCTACCAGAGAACCTGAAGGAGGCCGTTATCAACTGTGTAGCGCCCCAGTGGATGCAGGAGATCAGCACACGGTCCAAACAGACGGCTCTGCTGCTACAGGCACATTGCCTGAAATACCCAGACCGGAGCTGAGCAAGCTGCAACGGGATAACCCAATACTTAAGAGGATCTGGCACTGGTGGGATAAGAAGCAAGCTCCTACAGTGCGAGAACTGAAACAGGAACCCAAGGAGGTCCGAAGGGTGCTGCGCGACTGGGTCCGCCTGAGGTCCGTAGACAACGTACCTCACCGAGTATTGGTGGAATGCGGTCAGAACGGGCAGCAGGTGCTGCTTCCGGCTGCCCTAAAAGCATCATTACTACAGGCCGCACATGATCAGGCTGGACACCAAGGCATAGAACGAACCCTACGTCTCGCGAGGGCCAGATGCTTTTGGCCAAACATGGCTAGAGAGGTCGAGCAGCATGTCAAGAAGTGCCAACGTTGCACCTTGGCAAAAGCTGGGAAGCGACCCTAAACAGCCATGGGAAGCCTGATAGCAAGTCGACCACAGGAAGTAGTGGCGATTGACTTCACAGTGTTGGAGCCTGGTCTAGGAGGTAAGGAGGACGTATTGATGATGACCGATGTGTTCACCAAGTACACGCACGCCATAGCCGTCAAGGACCAGAAGGCTACCACGGTGGCTAAGACACTGGTAAACCCCTGGTTTGTCCGGTTTGGAGTGCCTAAGAGACTGCGCAGTGACCAGGAACGTAATTTCGAGAGTCAAATCGTTCGGGAGCTGTGCACGTTATATGGGGTGTCCAAGAGTCGCACAACTCCTTACCATCCTGAAGGAAATGGACAGTGCGAACGATTCAACCGGACAATGCATGACTTGTTGAGGACACTCGAGCCCCGAAAGAAGAGGCGGTGGCCAGAATACCTGTCAGGCTTGGTATATGCCTACAACTGCACACCTCACACTACCACCGGGTTCTCCCCCTATTTTCTCTTCTTTCGACGGGAGCCAAAACTCCCAATCGACCACCTCTTAGGAGAGGCCAAGAATGAAAATGGGAAAGGTGACATCAGTCAGTGGGTGGCCGACCACTACGAGGGCGTCTCGAGGCGGCCCTCAAACAGGCATTTAGACGAACGGAGGAAGAGGCCCTTCGACAACAGTCATTGACAAATAAGGAGGCCCAGGATACCAGTATCCCAATTGGGGGAAGGGTCTTCCTGAAGAACCAAAGATACAAGGGTAGACACAAAATCCAGGACGTCTGTATCCCGGAGCCACACCAAGTGGTTGAACGGCCCGACTCTGAAGGCCCTGTCTACCACGTCAGGTCGCTGGAGAATCCAGGGGTAACCAAGACGCTGCATCGCAACCAGCTGTTAGACTCTCGGGAGCTGGTCTCGGACTTGCATGGCAAGGGTCCGGGCTCCAGTGGAAGCCTACAGGTGCGGAGAGTCAATGACAGATCCGACACACCTGACACTGAGGATGGAGGCCACTTCGGGGTTTGACCCCCACGGGAAGTTGACACCACCGATGGCAACCTGACAGGTGAAGACGCCATGGAGTCGGTGGAATCAGAAACCGAGGATATTCCTCAGGAAGGCCACCCATCCAACAGCGAGGCAGACAGCAGCGAGGAGGGGAGTTCGGAGTCCAACTCCGAGGATAATGGTTCACGCAAGACAGAACGCGTGAATGTGGGGACCACTTCTAACCTCCACCACCTCCCCAAATCTGTCCTCAAGCAGGAGACTCGCAGGTCTAAAGTGAAAAGGTCACCAGGTTGTCTTTGTCCCCAAGTATTGGCTAATATCAGCGAGACCCAGCTGTTGTTGGTCCAGCTGTTAGCCGGTGCCAATAGGTAAAATCCAGGGCATGACGAATATTGCAGCGGCTCTTGCTCAGTCATTGAGCGGTTTGATCCAATAATTGTAAGGATTATGAGTGGGAAAAGATGGGGGAGATGTAACATGCCGAATTGTCACAGGGTTGTTGTGATTTTATTGGTGCTGCCCTCGAGTGGCGAAAAGAGAGAAAAGATAGACGGCAGCACTACAGAGAACAGATGACAGCACTAGGCCACCATGCTGGATCAGATAGGAAGCAGAAGAAAGCTTTCTGCTGATTAGTAATTTCTATTGGTCAACATCTACGAGGTTATCGTGTGACCCAATGCAGTTTGTTGGCCGTGAAGTTGGCGTGGTCATTTCTACGGTGGCATGATCTAGCCCGATCATGTACTTGGCTCCCTAGGGGTTTTTTGGTTGTTTACAAATAAATCGTATACCCCGCACTTGATTGTAGAGTCTTTTTCTGGACCTCACATTAATTAGGTGTTAATTAGAAAGGGGAACATTAAATAAGCATTGACTATGCAGACACATAAACACTGACGTGAATATTGCAAATGTTACCGTACGTAAATAGTGAGACGACCGATGTTATCTGAAACGCCTTAGTAAACAGACTTGAAAATGGACTTTTATCGCAATTAATAGCACAACGCCCTCTTTCAGTATGAAGATTAATGATGTGATCAGATCCGATTTGTTATCTGGATCCGGGTTGCAAGCGAGATAACACGTTACAATCCGATAACAACGATTGCATACGATGTGTTTTTTTACGATTGTATAATAATAATTGATGTTACCTATCGTCTAAACAAATAAGACATAATAGAACGTAAATTCCACACGCAGCAATATGGCTCAAGCGACGTTTACTGGTTCTACATATGGTTTCTATATATATAAAGTTGTTCAGCCAAATTAGTTCGTACTCGCATAACTAGAGAACTCCTCAGCCTAGAGGAAAACTAAAGATATTTAAAAAGTTTAAAAGTTAAAAATTCATATAAATTCTATTCATCAATAGATGGCGGTGCGTACAGATTAACATCACGTACGTGTGAATCCATGGTATACCCTTAACGGCGCAGTGACCTAATCGTTAGAACATCCGTCTCCTACACCGGGATTCCGGGTTCTAGTCCCAGCTGGGGAACTTATTTCCTCCTTAATTCCTTTTTTTCTCTTTACCTACCTCTTTGGTATGTTTTTTTTTTATATTTAATGTTTTTTTATTTTTTTATTTCTTATTATTTTTTACTGTTTGGGATGGGATGGCATGCGATGGCATGGAATGGCATGGCATGGCATGGGATGGGATGGAATGGGATGGGATGCGGTGCGATGGGATGCGGTGCGATGGGATAGCATGGCATGGCATGGCATGGCATGGCATGGCATGGCATGTAATGGCATGGGATGGCATGAGATGCAATGAGATAGGATGAGATGAAATGGGATGGGATATGGGATGAGATGGAATGAGATGCGGTGCGATGGGATGGAATGGGATGCGGTGCGATGGGATGGGATGGGATGGCATGGAATGGCATGCATGGATGCATGAATGGATGCATTGATAAATCGATATAATTGGGGTATTTTCCTTTCAACCAAGCGGTCACCAACTGAGTAACGCCACTGATTTTCCCGGGCAACGCCGGGTATCCCGCTAGTTCTATATAAATTTATTACTATATAATACATATTTCTTCCTTTACAGTGTGGTTTTCAATTCTCTTGTTAGTAATATATATATATATATATTATATAGATTTATATATATATAATATATATATACATATATTATATATAGATCTAAAGATTATAATAGATTCCGCACGTTGGCAAAGTTACTGAGTATCGCTGAGTATCGTCTTCATACCGATAATCTCGTCCTGCCATTGAGACGTACTGTTGCTCTTCCAGTAGTCCTGGTCGTTCTTGTGCCTGAAGCAAAGTATCAGAGTAAACACATATACGCGAGGAAGGGGGGGTGTCAGTGATGGATTATAGAGGTCAGGAACGATAGCGAAATGTTACGTTCAGAAGTCATCCATGCTCACAACGCTATATATTTAATTGGCTAACAAAGTGACAGTAGCTATGTAATATATCAAAAAATAAAAATAAATAAATAAATAAATAAATATATAAATATAAATAAAAATAAAAATAAAAATATATATATATATATAATACAAATTTATATATTTATATATTATTCACAGACTATATTTATATTATATATAGTATATATAATATATATATAATATAAATATATAATAATATAAATATATACAATATTATAAATATTATAAATATATAACATATATAAATATATTAATATCTAAAAATAATCAAATATATAAGATGGCGTCTTAGCAAGAAGCGATTGAAAACGTTTCAAACAGTAATGAGAACGAGTGTAAGCGAAAGAGAGAGAAAGCGGGATGAGAACGAGACAGGGAGAGAGGAGAGCGAGAGCGAAAGAAGAGAGAGAGGGGGATAGTGAGAAACAGAGGAACAGAGAGAGAGAGTTAAGAGGAGTGAGAGAGAGGAGAGAGAGATGAGATGACAGAAGAGAGAGAGAGAGAGAGAGCCAGCATGACGTGGATTACTCGTTGCGCTTATCTATGATTTTCTATGAGTACTAAACGTGATGGAGTTGCGAGGCGAGCTTCGTATCCCTTACTGGTAGTATTTCCTCGACGACCTCATAGTTGTCGTGTACTCTCCCCCGGCAGACACGAGACGTGGCCGTCGCTGGCATTATCCGTCTCGGATTTTTTCTAGGAATTAACAGCACTAATATTGTTTTCTTCTCGTATTTAACGCCAGAGCGTATTGGAGAATTGTTATCAATTTGGCATTCAGAAATGATGTTGCTGTTTAACACAGACTAACACAACACACGCCCCCTCGCCCCCTGCGCACCACGCACACACTAGAACAGGCCCCCCCCACATACACGCGCGCACACACGCTCACTCACACGCGACGCGCGACACACGTTCACTCGCGCGGCGCGCACACACGCGGGCACGACGCACACGCACTGCGCGCGCCTGTGGCAAGATCAACTTCTCTCTTCTCGCCTATCTCGCCTCTCTCTCGCGCTCTCTCTCTCTCTCTCTCTCTCTCTCTCTCTCTCTATATATATATATATATATATATATATATATATGTATATATATATATATTCATTTATTGATTTATATATATCATATTTGCCTGTCGACGAGCAGAGCTTTGATGTCGTCCTCCCACTGCGTCTGTACGGCATCGTCAAAGCTCAGCATTACCACTTGAGGCACGTCGGACACTGCCAGCTCGCTGGGGATATTCGTGCTGCTGCACAGACAGTCCGGTAGGTGGCAGTACGCCGCATCGCACGGCTGCGCCTCGTTTGATGATGCCAGATTCCGCCCGTAGGTGGCGCGGAAGGCGCTCGCGACGCAAACTGCATGCAGCGTCCCCTTCCCACACTCAGGATATACCTGTAGTAGAATTGAGCCAGAGCGAGAGCGCCATCTGTCGTGGAGTTTGCTCGCGACGGCGGGCAGCGACAGCAGTAGATACACGGCCGACGATTTCATCATTATGCCGACCGGGGGAGCTCCTTACCGCTATGCGAAGATCCTATAGTCTTCTTTTAAGACTCTTATAGGCGGGGTTGCCTGCACGTATACGCTGGCGTGTCGAATACCTGGTAAAAATTCGAAATTTAAATTCGAAATTAAAATACCTCGTAACCGTTAGAAAGGTTTAGTAGCAGTGGTTTAGTGGCTGCTGATACGGTGAGCGTTGACTTGAATTGCTATCTGCGGGTTACTGTGATATTCTTGTACGCAGTTAGAAAGCGGTGATTTCCAGTGCGCGGGTCCACCGTAAATATCCGGTTATACCTACACAGCGGTCCCGTTGACAGGTGCATCATAAATAGTGATAGCCGACTATATTATATCAATACGTCTCGGATAACAGTCTCCCAGATGTGCATTATAGACAGCACTATAAGACAGCATTAGGCCTATGGCTAGCAATATGGGTATCGCAATGTGGCAGGAGAAAGATGATATATAGAGATATAATATATATATAGAAGTAATGCGGAGATTGCTTGTAGTGGTAGCTTCGTGCTCAGCAGGAATCTCACCGTGTGTGGGGTCGATTTCACTGAGTTTTCGGTCTCGCGAGGTGGCGAGGAAAATATCTGTCGAGTTTGATAATTTTGGTTTCGCGAGGCTGACAACTCAGCGTGTGCGGGGTATGTGAAATTCCTGCTCAGTTTTGTCGCGTATGCGTATTTAGTTATTTCGAAATGCCCCCCGGACAATCACCCCCCGGACAATTACCCCCGGACAATTACCTCCCGAACAATTACCCCCATGCCCTTCACCTCCCGAACAATTACCCCCCGGACAATCACCCCCCGGACAATGGGGTTAGCCGCTAGCTTTGTCAGCAGGTGGCGCAGCGAGAGTTAGAGGTGTTACAACGATTGCGCAATCAACGGTCAGTGAAAAGACTACAGGAATGTCACGAATAGCATCGTTATCGTCATAGCGATTATAACCAAGTTAAACTCGCGCTCTCTCGTAAAAGCTCTGCAAGCGATCACCTTCAGCAGAGGCGACTATTACTAGCACACTTTTAAGAAGTGCTAAATATCGAAATTAGCTTATAAAAATTTAGTTGATTAGCTCCATTTTTGACTTTTTGAGTTTGCCAGGTAGTTTTCTTCTGCGTTTTCCATCGCAGTTAGATTATAAAACAACTGTTAGTGTCTATCAATTGCGGATTTATCCGCTCAGTATAAATAGAGACAATGCCACGAATTGGCAAAGACTTTCGAGCTGGTAATGGGGTAAATAATAGACGGCCAGGTGTCTCCTAGTACGAGGCCCGGATACGTACCTGGTACCAAGGTACTTGGCCTATATTACATACCGGCATTTATTCTACATGTTTTATTTTGTTTATATTAAGATTAGCTCTCGACTTTGCTAATGCCCTTCCGTTGCCACACCGCATTTTTTTTTTAATTATGTAAGGTGGGAGGAGCGAGGAGGCGGGAGAACGTGGGGAAAGGTGTGGAGAAGGAGGGGAGAAGGTGGAGGAGGCAGGAGGAGGAGCAGAAGTGGAGGAGAGAGAGAGGAGAGGAGGAGAGGAGGAGCTAGAGAGGAGAGCGCCTCTACCTCTCCTCTCTCCTCCTGCCATCACCATTTCTCCCCTCCTCCTCTGCCTCCCTCCCTCAACCAACAACCTGCGAGCCTCCTCTACCTTCCTCTTAACTCCTGGCTGCTCCCCCTCCTACTCCTCCTCCCACTCCTTCTCCGTCGTCCTCGTAAACTCTCCTCCCTAAATGTCGCGGCGTAAATTCCGGGGGGTTAAATTGTTGGCCGAGGGGCAGCGGTCGCCGTAACATGTCCGCTGGGCGGTACATTTACGGAGAGTTGATTATCGGAAAGCGGGGGGGGGGTAAATGTGCGAGGGGTAATTGTCTGAGGGGTAAATGTCCGGGGGCGTAAATGTCCGGGGGGTGATTGTCCGGGGAGTAAATGTCCGGGGGGTAATTGTCCGGGGGTGAATGGCATGGGGGTAAATGTCCGGGGGGTAATTGTCTGGGGGTAATTGTCCGGGGGGTGTTGTCCCGGGGGGTATTTGTCCTGATACCTCGTGCACCAGACGGTGGCATCCGCGAATTTTTTTTATCGCGAGGCTGACAACTCAGCGTGTGCGAGGGTATGAGGCTCCTGCTGAGCACGCACGAACCTCACAGTGTGCTCCTTACAAACGGAGACGGAGATGGATTCTACCGCGAGTGTGAGAAGATATTTGCAACGTTCTACACGTGTGACCTGCCAAGCGCCATGACAGTGTAGAACGCACGCGCGCGCGTATATATATATATTTATGTGTGTGTGCGTGTTAATATATGTGTAGTAATATATTACTACATGTGGCACTCTTCGGGTGCGTGGCTGTGACACTCATCCGTGTGTGCATGTGTTCGTGCTTGTGTGCGTGGTTGTGTGAGTGCCCTCGCACGTGTAGGCCTATGCCTCATTGCCTGAATGTCTGCTGGCCTTCCTGCGTGCTTGTATTTCCACATACACATCAACCTGCGGGTGTGCTTCTGTGTGCTTTACACAACTCACAGCTCAATACTATTGCACGACGACAACCACGTACCATATACATAACCAGCACGAAAACGTGTATGTGCACTTACCACGTTATATCGCCTCTCCTCATTTTTACTTCCCTATCTCTCTCTCTCTCTCTCTCTCTCTCTCTCTCTCTCTCTTTATCGTTACCCCGGATTCGATTTATCGGCTTCGTACGTGCGTGATTATCGATGAAATAGCTAATCGATGACGCAGTTCGCCGTGCGCAGGTGCAGGGTGATTGGTTGATACATCGACGACAGTTCGACCGACGACAGGACAGAGCATGGGATGAGGTGGGGGCAAAAGAGTCTGGGATAGAATGGGAATAAGATAGAGGCAGAGGAGAGTAGAATAGCATAGAATATGGTGGGGCAGAATTGAGTAGAATAGCATGGAATGAGGTGAGGTAAAAGAGAGTAGAATAGAATGAAATAGGGTGGGTCAGAATTGAGTAGAATAGCATGGAATAGGGTGGAGCAAAATAGAGTAGAATAGAATGAAATAGGGTGGGGCAGAAGAGAATAGAATAGAATAGAATGGGGTAGGGCAAAAGAGAGTATAATAGAATAAAATATGGTGGGGCAGAATTGAGTATAATAGCATGGAATGAGGTGAGGTAAAAGTAAGTAGAATAGAATGAAATAGGGTGGGCAGAATTGAGTAAAATAGCATGGAATAGGAAGGGGTAAAAGAGAGTTGAATAGAATGAAATAGGGTGGAGCAGAAGAGAACAGAATGGAACGGAATGGGGTGGGGCAAAAGAGAGTATAAAATATTAAAATAAGGTGGGACAGAAGCGAACAAAATAGAACGGAATGGAGTGGGCAGAAGCGAACAAAATGGACGGCAACAGGGTGTGATATAATGACTTTAACCTGACTCAGTACTCAGTAGACTTGAATTTTTGAGAATTCGCTATAACTGTATCAGTCAGTGCGCATGACAAATGTCGAATAATTATATCTGCGCTATTCTACGCAAACAGTACATTTAGGCGTAAATATAGCGAGAAAACAAAACGAAAGGTTTTTTTTAATTCCACGCTTTATTTTCATAAAATTTTCATCTCTAATGGATTCATTACAAAGCCAAAGTTATTTATTTTACAAATAAATGCGATTACATAATAAAATTAACGAAATTTACTCGATTTATCGTAGCCGCGTAGGCCTAACGGATATAAAGCGATTGAATACGTTACGGTGTTCCGATTACAATAATGTACCCCGCCCCCGTACCAGCTACCAACGCTTGCAAAGCACGACGGGGGAAAAATCACATTCTCCCATCAGAGCTAACACATCACACTGATTTCTTATCGCAAAATCAACCCGGTGTTTCGGCATGCATCCACGCCAGTATTTAAAACGAACTCAAAACGAAACAGTCATACTCTCCGGTGCTGAACATTCACCACTCTCGGGCGCTTACTGTCCATTGGGGTTCCCTACCCAGGGGTAATTCGGCGGGCATTGGCTGTTGCACGTCTGCATGTAACGCT